AGGAATGAATGAGGATGTTGTCATTATCTGTTTCCCTGTCTCTCTCCCACCAAGGCAGGGAGCGTATGTCAGTCATTTCTGAATCCCCAGAGTGGATCCCCAGAAGATGTTCGGTCAATACTGGTTTGTTGAAATGACCTGGACATTAACCAAGACCATTGTTGGTTATCTAGGATGTGGTATTTCAGCCCTTTTGCTTCTCCTGGTTGGTTGGTTGGTTGGTTGGTTGGTTGGCTGGTTGGCTGGCTTCCCATTGCCCTTTCACCCCTAATGACTGAGAACAATCAGAGGAGAGTTGCTGGGGACCGTTGTCCCCCATGTATGTGAGCAGCTTGAGAAGAAGGTGTATTGGAGAATCTCTCCCGGGTATATACTGAATGGTACTTCTCAGGGAATGTTTAGCCTCTCCTCCCTCTTCCCTAGTGGAGAGCTCACTGTTACACTTCCAAGTGCCTCGTTCCAGACTGTTTTGCCCTAGGAATTCTCACCATGGCCTTGGGCAGCATGCAGCAAACTAATAACTGTGAAATCCAAGCCCCTTCATTTTCAGAATAAAAATCCCCAAGGAGGGGAAGCATCCAGCCCAGAGACATTCCTAATGAGTGAGTACTTGGTCCACTCATCCACCAAGGATTTGTGGATTGCCAGCTGTGTGCCAGGCTCCGAAAGGCTCCAGTGCCCAGCATATGTGGCTCAATACCTAATCAGAAATGAAGCATACTTTTTTAAGATTTATTTATTTTATTGGAAAGGCAGAAGAATACACAAAGAAAGATTTTCCATCCACTGATTCATTTCCCAAATGACTACAATGGCCAAGCTGAGCCAATTCAAAACCGGAAGCCCAGAATTTCTTCTGGGTCTCCCATATGGGTACAGGGTCCCAAAGACTTAGGCCATCCTTTGTCGCTTTCTCGGGACATAAGTAGGGAGCTGGATGGGAAGTAGAGCAGCCAGGACACAAACAAGCATCCAAGTGGGATGTTTGCTGGAAAAGGATTAGCCAGTTAAGCCATCACATCAGCCCTCAGAAATGAAATTTTCATCAAACAAAATGAAAACTCGCCATGCTGAGAAGTGAAGCAAAGGTTCACACTACTCATCAAGTGTAATATAGGGAAGCTAAGTCTGGTGGAAGGTTTGGATGAACTGAAATCCGAAGGGCTGAGCCAGCAGATAGGAATTGGCTGAGCACAAAGGAGAAAGCAGCATTCCGGGACAAATAAACAAAATACTGCAAGACTCAGGGCAGACAGAAGACACTGATACCAGCGTGTGAATTCATGCTCCACAGAAGTGCAGGAGTTCAAAGCCAGATGTTAGGTGAATTCACACATAATCAAATTTGCCTTTAAGATGCCTTCATCTCCGCGATAGAGCAAGCTGTGTATGGCTCTGTGTATGACCCTGTAGAGAAAGCTCAAGACCCTCTGCACTACTCAAGGAAGGAGCAACAATAACATCAACCTGTGGGTGCCTGAGCATTCTGAGCTTTCTACCTACGTTTTAATGGAGGATGGATGCTGGAAAATTCTAGGGTGCTCTGCGTTTTACTTTACTCTTTTATTATTATTAAGTTTCCGTAACCTCACAGTGTTCTGCGTCAGTCAGCCAGGCTGCCATCACAGAATAGCCTGGACAGCCTACAGAGTACATATCTACTTTTCCAGGTCCTGGAAGGGTGGGAATTCCAGATTAAGGTGCCGTCACACTTGGTTCCTGCTGAGGCATTTCTCCTTGGTTTGTGAACAGCCACCTTCTGCCACCTATTCCCTTCGTCTTTTCTCTTTGCATTCACCCTTTGACATTTCTTCTTTTTGTAAAGATATTGATCTATTAGATTAGGATTCAATCACCCACCCTAAATTACTTCCCTAGAGACCCCGATCTCCGAATGGGGTTAGGCTTACAGTGTGAATTCAGTGAATTCTAAAACACTTTATTAGAGTGCCCAGTGTTGTCCAGATTGCAAGGGGATGACATCATTGAAGGCCCTGGAATGAGGTTCTGAGGTTAGCATCAGCACCTGTTCACGTGATAAACATTTGAACTTGCTAACTGCCAGGATTAACATCAGCATCTTCTCACATGATGCAGAGCTGAACTTGCTCACTGCTTTCCCGGAAGAACTTGAGCTACTTCCTGGCTGTCCAAGTTCAAGTCTCTATTGGGCTCCATTTGTATGAGCTCATTGTCTTGGGTGTTGACTGCATCTCAGAGGGGTGGGGATGGGGAGCCTGGCCCCCCAACAAGGGGTGATATCCACTGACAGGGAAAGGGCAGGAGTGCCAAGGCTATTCTCACATGGGCTGCCCTGTGGGCCTCCCCCCAAGCAGTTTAGGGCAGTCTTGCTGGCTTCTGACTTGCAGCAGATCCCCCAAAACTGTCTCAGGGAAGAGCTTTGGCTGGATGAACCAGAGCTGCCCGAAGCCTAGCATCAGGGTGATCCAGGGCGTGTCAAGTGTTCTTCATTCACTGGGAAATTGCCCAGTTCCCATCAATGCCAACATTTTCCCTGTCTCAGTCCTGACTGAAATCAGACTGAGGCCTCCAAAGAACGTTGTCAAGAGGATGATCTTATATGAAGTGTTGTTTCTCCCAGAAAGAGAAAAATAGAAGTAAGGAATTCTCAGAAGGTGCTGGAGGTGTTTGGTGGTGGAGTGCGGTGCCAACTGTTTGCATCCATCTAAATGCACCAAAGTGCATACATTAGTTGCCTGAAGTTTTTCATATACTTACGGCTCAGTGAAACTTGGACAGAGGCAGGGGAAAATGAACAGAGAGGAAAAACATTACCTGCAGGGGAGCTACAGTTAAACTGAAAAAGCAGATTTCTTCATAGAACAACAAAGCAGAAACTAATTGACTTCTAGATGACCATGATACAATATGCACAGCAGACACTCAATAAGTGGACAGTGGCTACTGTCCCACACCTCTCCAGGAAAGAAAAGAAATAAGAGATACCTTGAAAAGCTTGAGGAAAAAATGCAATTAAAAAGCCAGTTTATTTTAGTGTGTGAAACTATTTTGAAATCCACACATCCATTTTTTTCATCCAGTGCTTTTTCCATGAGCTCCTTGAAGACCTCTCAGGATGGAGATTAGGGCTCTCCAGAGTGGTTTTGTCTCTCGTGGAGTACAACTTTTTTCTTCCAAGTCCCCAGAGCCCTGGGGGAAAGCCTACAGGGAAAATGTTAAAGAAACAGCAACCTATCACATGGGGAAAGAATTCTGGTTTTTTTTCCCCATGTTTCCCCAAAGGATAAAGACTTCTGAGTACTTTTTAGCATATTAAGTCATCCCCAGTACTGAAAGGGAGAGCTGGGGGGCAGGCTGAGTTCACTGCCTTTGGACATGTTAGAGCCAACACATGCAAGCAACCTTGAGCTCTCCAGAGCTGAGCTGGGGTGACACAAAAGGGTGAATGGCTGTGACGTGGCAGGAGGCCCAGAGAGCAGTCCAGGGGGATTAACAAAAACTGCAGTGCAGGCACAGTGAGGATCCCTAAAAGACCGTGACCCACAGAGACGTGCCCCCTGTCACCAGCCTCCTGTAGCAGCCGCCATTCTCACAGCATCATGCCCCATGCTCCGTTGTGATGTCCATTCATTATCCAATGCCTGTGAGCAGAGCCTGCAGGGAGGGCCCTCAGGGCTTAACAGTGAGCATGGCAAGTACTGTCCACCTCCTCCTGAGCCCTCTGAAGTCAGCCCCATGACAACTAAGCCAACAGCTCCAGCGTGAGAAAACACCTCCCCAGGAGCAGTGGGAGCAACAGCCTTGCTGAGGAAGTAGCAGGCAGCTGCAGTCTGCACCTGCTGGAAGGGGACCCAGCTCCAGCTGCATCCCTGGGGGAGATGTTGCACGCAGAGTGGCACCAGGGGCTAGAGGGCGCTTGGGGAGTAAACAGCAAACTCAGGCCGGAGTTGACCCCACAGGGCCTCAAGCTACAGACCTAAAAGGTTTTAGTGGAGGAGCATGCTAGTGCCAGATCACACTGTGCGTGGGAGGCAAGCCTTGGCTCGAGAGGTTCTAGGACCTATGTTGGGCAGCCTGGGCTGGAAACACGTTCAGGAGAGACTGTCCACTCCTGGAGGCGAGGAGAAGTTTGAAGAGTTGAGGTTGGGTTACTGCCAGGTGTGTCAGGTGTGTGAGAAGCAGGAGCTGCTACCACTGTTGTCACAGTCAGGATCTGCCGGGTGTCTGGGGACTGTGCAGTGGCGAACACATCATGTTTTCTTCCCTAGGCAGCGATGTGGGGCAGGATCACCTCTAAGGGTACCCTGTTGCTGTTAGTGCTGATGACTGCATAGCTCACGGGGTAAAAACAGACCCCTGGAGCAAATCCCAACATCTGTCTCCATCCCCATCTCAGCAGCAGAGAAAGCACCAGCAAGTGGCATTTTGTGTACATGAGACCAAGCACAGTGAGAGTGGACCTCTCAGTCTAGTATCATCCATCAGTGTCAGTGGTTCCTAGTGGCTGGCTGGGCGGTGAATACACCCTTGCTCTCCTCCCCGCTCCATCCTCTCCCCACTTCCCCAGGATGATGCAGCCTCCCAGGACTAAGACTGGGTGCTGCAGCTCCCATATGTGCGTTGGCGTTGTCCACATTTCATGGGGCAAAAGCCAAGCCCTGGAGAAATCAAGTCCCATGGATCATGAAGTGCGAAGTGAGACCCAGATTTGCTCATCTCCAGGGCCTGGCAGAAGATGCTGCACCCAGGTACCTCTCCAGCAATCAGAAAAGGGGTCTGGTGGTAAGGAAGGAGACAGCCAGCCCTGCTGTCCCCAATCAGGAGCCCTGTCCCCCAACATCAGACCACACAGAGTAAACACCATTCTAAGCCCACCCAACACAGGAGGCTGTCTGTCTCCACCCCAAGTGTGGTCCACCTCTGGGGGTGACCCCACCTGTACCAGGAAAGTCAGGTAACACTAACCCTAAGCCATCTGGGTCCTCTTCCTGACCTCTGCTTGTGTGTCATCCTTCCAGGAGGCGTCAGAACTGCTGCGCTGGTGACTCTGAAGAAAGAAGAGAGCTCACCTCCCTGACCAGGGGCCAGGCTCGCCAGAGGACTCCCAGCGCACATGGCCAATTATGGGTGCCCTGGAGGTGCGGGAGCTCGGCTCACCCACTGGCCCCTTGCAGCTGCCGGGTGGGAACTGCCCACAGTGCCAAAGCCCTACTACTGCGTTTTCAATGGGTCCCTGTACATAGTAGCTGCCTAGCCCGGCCCCTCTTGCTCTACTGGAAACGATTTATACAATGTGGGAATTTTATTACCTTTTTAATCAAGGGCAACTTCTTTTTCCAGTTCTCTATTGTATGTCTTGTTTTTTGTTTGGGATTTTTTTGTTTTTTGTTTTTCTGGAGAGAGGACTAACCACCATGCTTTTTCTCTTTTGCTTTTTTATTTGACTAATACAGGGGAGGGAACATTAGTATTAGTGCCATTGTCTCTCCTGGATTGTGGGTAGGGAGAGTTTCTTTTTAAAGGTAGCTTGAAACGTGGGCCTGCGATTTCTGGGCGGGAAGGGCTGAGGTGCAGGCCTCTGGCTCAGTGGGGAGAGGGTTTACAAATGGCAGATCTCCGGACCACAGCCATCCACAGTTCTTCCCACTGGCCACACCTGCGGGGGCACACCCTGCCTTCAACACATGCCAGGCTCTCCTCACTGCCAACAGCTGGGTCTCACTCCCCGACTGCATGACCTTCTATTGCCAGCCACAGTCAGGGGCGCCTTCCCCCCGCCCACCCCAGAGCTTCTGTTTAAATACCAGCAGAACGGGCTCTGACACCTGTTAGCATTACCGTAACAGTTATGAGATGAAAGCAAACCATCTTCCTATCTAGATGGTACAAAGATGAATAAATTTAGTTTTCATTTCTCTCCTTAACTGCCTTTCTCGGTGTGGTATTGGAGAAGATTTCAACAGGAAGCCCCACCATGAATTGATTTCTTTGTGTGTTTGCTTTTGGGCCAATTTTAGATACCTGAGTGCACTTTTTTTTCCAACTTAACCCTAACTTTTGAAGAAGATGTAAATGTTGCAACATGAATTATGTTTGCAATCCCTTTCCAGCCCTTTCCCCTGCCGCTCCCCCCATTTGAGTACACTGCACAAATAAAATATTAGGGAGTTTGAATAAAACCGATTTTTTCTAACTTGTTGCGCATTTGTTGTAACTCAATAAAGCAAAGACTAAACGTTTTTCTAACCTGCTTCTCGGCTCCTGATTCTTCAATGGCTGGCTGGCTCTCAGGGGAGCTGGGCATGAGGGACTTAGCCATCTCCTGCTGCCAACTGAAGTCCTTGTTTCCCATCCTGGTGACATGGGGGTGAAGGGTAGGGTGCAGTACAAGCTAAGCTTCAACAACAAGCTGTTGCCGTAGATATCTGAGTCCTTCTCTCTTGAACACTGGAAGGAAGTTACTAGCCCCCTTCTCTGGGTTCTTGGGAAGCTGCTCCTTAAATACTGCAGAGCATCCGGGAACAGGCACCAGACGAACCACGGAGGCCCTGCTCACCCTCACTGACCACAGGTAAGTCACGCCGCCCTGGGCTGCTGCTAACCCTAACTGGGATACTGCCATTTCTCCAAGGTTGTACTTCTTCCATGTTATTTCATCTTATTTGAAAAACAGTGAGAGAGAGATGGACAGAGATCTTCCATTGCTGGTTCACTCTCCAAGATGCCCCTCCACAGCGAGGATGAGGCCACGCTGAAGCCAGGAGCCTGCACTTGGGTTATTTAAAAGCATTTTTGCAAGCAGTCACAGCCAACGTCTCATGGTTTTTGCCCACGCTGGCTTCCCTGCTGGCACCACCAGCACCTGGACCTTTGCGCCCCTCATCACCCCCATGCTGTCCTGCCCTTCCAGTCCATTAGGGCACATTTCCAGCACTTCCCCCCACCACCCAGCAGGCATTGCCTTCCCGTCCTGCTGGTCACCACTCAGCAGCCAAGCTTGCCGCTTTGCAGCAATTTAAGTTATTTCTTCAAGGCAGTGTGAGACACACTCAAATCCCTGAAGAAACCAAAGGGAAAGTTCTGGTAAGTAGAAGGATGAAATTATACTGTGGCAAGATGGCTGCGGCTCTCTTAGCTGTCAGCAGCAATGCCAAGTTTCCTCCCCAACAGGGAGGAAAGGGTGGCAGCAGGAGAGGGCATCTGGCCTCCCAGTTCAGATCCCTGCACCCACATCAGGATAGCTGGGTTCAGGGTCCAGCTCTGCCTCCTGACTTCTGTTTTTGGCAATGGGAACCCTGGGAGGCAACGGTGACAGCTAAGGAACTGAGTTTCTGCCACACATGTGGGAAACCTGGAAGAAGCCCCTGGCTTTGGATCAGCTCAGCTCCAGTGGTGGTGGCTGGCCACTTGGGGAGTGAACCAGTGGATGGCAGATCTTTCCCTGTGTCCCTCCTTCTCTCCATAAATCAGCTTTTCAAGTAAATAAATTATAAAAAGAGAGAAAGAGAGGGCGACAGGAACTGAGAAAAGTTCTTAGGAAGCAGGGCTGTCGTGAACAGGATAGAGCTGCCGTCTACTGGTCGCGTCTTCTGCCATACCTCTTTGCATTCCTGTCACCTCCTTGCAGACAGCTCCTCTTTCCTTCGCCTCACCCAATTGTGGGGACTTTACACTGTGCTGATCCACTTCCCTCCCACAAGGAGAGCCATGGAAACCCCAGCACTCTGTACCCAGAGGGTGCAGCACCAGGCCTAAGACACATCCAGAGCAGTTGTTGCAGCAACAAGAAGCCACCTTGGACCATTTAGCCTGTGGGCATAATAATATTAACCAGAACCCACCAGTGCCAGAGTCCTTGCCAGCCAGTGGGTAGACAGCAAGATGAAATAAAAATAATAAATTTTTAACAGGATCAACAAAAGAAGGAAAAAATAATAATAGCGATAATGATGGTGGCCATGATGGTGATGGTGATTTTGATAATGATGACACCATTTAGGCCCTAGTCCCTGCTATTCCAAAGGCTGGCTTCTTGTCATTACAGCTTCATAAGCATCATTTTTTTCCTCTCTTTTTAAAAGACTTACTTATTTTAAAGACAAAGTTGCAGAAAGAGAGGGAGAAACAGACAGGTCTTCCCCTGGTTCACTCTCCAGATGGCCACAGCAACCAGCTAGATTAGACCAAAGCCTGGAGCATCTTCTGGCTCTACCGTGGGTGGCATCTCGCCATCAGCTGCATCATCAGGGAGCTGATTCTGAAGTGAAGCAGCTAAAACTTTTAGCGATTTCTGCTTATTTGAAAGACAGAGACAGGGCCTAGTGGCTGAAGTCCTTGCCTCGCACATGCTGAGATCCTATATGTGCACCAGTTTGTGTCCCAGCTACTCCACTTTTGACCCCGCTCCCTGCCTGTGGCTGGGAAAACAGTTGAGGATGACCCAAAGTCTTGGGACCCTGCAACCACGTGGGAGATCCAGAAGAAGCTCCTGGCTTCAGATCAGCTCAACTCTGGCCATCATTACTGAAATTGCAAGTAAGTGGCTTTGAAATGAGGGGTGTGAAAAAACTGGGCCACAGTACACAAGACACTTGGCCATGGATTGTATATAGAAGCTTGCTTATTCCTTCAGAAAACTACAGAGAAAATCAAATTCCCTTTTTATCACATTTTGACTTCCTGGGACTATGCTTTTAAAACAGCTCTAGGACTGGAAACATGTGGGTCCCAGCTTCCTGGGGCCACATGAGCCAAGTGCGGCAGCCAGCATGAAAAAGAGCTAGAAAACCAACTACGCCATAACCTGCTATTAATAGGACAAGCTTCAGTGCCCATGTCACCACATGACCTCACACTGCCTCCAGCTGGCATGGATTGCTCTGAGCCTTGGTATAGGCAGAAATGCAGTTAAAAGGCCAGGGACACGTGACTTGCCAGCATCCCCTGGACTGCACTCAGCAAGACCCCCCAAGATTCAGGGACCCTGATTTCTTCCAGCTCTTGCTTTACCATGACTGGGCTGCACCACCCTGGGAAAGGCCATTCCTTCCCGCTCTTTGCATCCCAGTTTCTTCACTTGAAAACTGAGAGTTTAGATCCAATGGCCATGAACTCTCATCTCTCCTCTGAGACCCTGGCAGACGGCCTCTGAAAAGACTCAGAGCCCAGCTTCCTTCCTTGACCCTCAACAAGAACCCTGGTGGGCAGGGAGAGGTGTTCAGGACAGCTCTTCAAGTATCTGGAAAGTGGCTCCAAAACTTGTCAGCAAGGAGACTGCTGTGAGCAGGCTCCCCTGAGAAAACTGGGAGACGCAGGAGTGTCCATGAACTGTGTGTAATTCTCCAGTAAGACAAGGGGATGAAAGACTGATGAGGAGGCTGTGGACAACTCTTCCCCCAAACCCGGATCATATCACCCCACATCCCTCCCTAGCCCTGTCACCTTCACAGGAGCATTTGTTTAAGAAACAGAGATCCATTGTTTGGGGTCTCGGCATCAGCTGCTCAGCAAAAACAGCTGCCCTTGCACTATGCCTGAATGCAGTCCTGTAGGCTGCAGGCATGCTCTCCACCCTACAGAGGCGGACAAACCTTGCAGGCACCAGCGTGAGAGCCAGACTCAAGGCTGGGCCAGCCTGGGCAGGGTGGATTCCTCTCTAAGGGATTGCTAAATCCCATGTGTGCTCCAGAGAAAATTCTGCATGGAATGCAGCGCCCAATCCTTTGGCGTGCAGCTCAGCAGTGTGTTGTAAGGATGACGGGGGCTCCGGGCAGTAAAGGACTTCCACGCAGCAGCATTACAATTCCTCGGCATGAAGAAATTGCATAACTCTCCACATCAGAGGAGTGAAGTTTGGACTTGAGAAGGATTTCTTCAAGGCTACAGTTAGGAGTCTGCCCAGTGCCCCTCAGTGGCTGAGAGTCAGAGCCAGGATTCAAAACCCAGGTCCCTCTGAGACCAACCACAACACGCCAACTTCTCATCAAGCAGCTGTCATGGCTCAGGACTCGCGAGGACACAGCAAAACCACATGGACACACACACACTTGAAATGGGCTGCCACACGGTCTATGCCTCCCTGCACCCCTCCCCACACAAGTACACAGATTCCTGCAGACACTCCCACGCCCAGGAGTGGCCAGTCTCCTTTTCAGGAGTCTGGCTCTGGGGTTTGTGGTCATGGATGGCTGGGAATGGGA